GGGTTAAGGTCTTCTAGGAGGACTAGTCCCTCCCACTCAGCGGAACCTCCCAGGGCTCTGTTTGTATCCAGCCTTGGGGCCTTTGGCCTTGTCTCTGTATCCACCCCCAGCAACTTTACTGAGACCCCCACGAGCCCACAGCAAACTGGTGACCTCGCCTGGCAGGTTCTGTTCTCCCAGAAATCCCTGTTTCTGGCCTTATCTGTCCCCTCAGGCCTGAGCCAAGCCCTTTCCCAGGCTTCCAGCTCAACCTCCCCCACAGCCAGCTGCCTGCTGCCGCTGCTGCCAACCTGAACTTTTTAAAACACCAAATCTCTTCTTTATCACCCTGCCCTTAACAGTCTTTCACTGTTGCCTGATTGGCTCCCAGTTTAAACAAACACACAAACAAAAGCCATGAAAAAGTTTCTTAGTATTGGCACTGTCTCCTGCCTGCTTTGCCTCATCAGCTTTTTCTGGTCTCGTTAGCAGCCCCCATGCCTGCTTTTGGATCTGGTGGTCTCCTGCAACCCCAGAACCCTCCCCTACACCCCTACAGACCATGCCATCTCTGCAGGGGTCTGGTGGGACGGGTGGGTCAGGTAACAGCTTCTGCCAGGAAAATCCTCATCCTCTAGTCTGGTTGGTGGTCTGGCCCTCCCTCCCCCATCCTGCACTGGTGGGGATTGTTTCGGCTTCTCTCTGCACCCCAACAGCAGGAAGTGCACATGTATGTGTGCCGTATGTAATAGCCATTGCTGGGTTCTGGTTCTGGTCCGGAAGGCCTTTCGCCCTTAGGTTCATTTTTTTCAGATCTCCTTAAGCCAAGTAGAAATAACTTCCATGAAATTCTTTGGCAAATATCACCTTCTCCTTTATTTACCCTAATTTATGAGAAGTCTGGATACCTTGCAATCATGGAAAGCAGTCAGTGCACTCAACCAGCACCCAAGAATGCATCCACGGGGCTTGCGGACCGCCTGTGGGAGAAGGGGGTGACCAGCAGGGCAGGTCCCATCAAGTGATTGCTCTGTGTGCTCTTAGGGCTGGGCCTACTATCTTTATTCTCTCTCCAGATGGAATGGAAATTGCTTTTTGAGGGTTGTTTCCATGTCTGGTTTATTTTTGTTTCGCCACCTGTGCCTAGCACGTTGCCTCTCCCTCCGAGGAGGCCTCCCGTGAATGGATGATCTCTGGGCGAAGCAACTGAGAGGTCGTTTCTGCTCGGAGCAGCCGGACATCTGATGCTGTAGGGGCCTGACTCTGGCAGCATCTTCCAGAGCCAGAACTTGAGTGTGAGTGTCAGTGCATTTGTGTGTGGGCCTGTGCTTTGCGATACTGTGAACAGAGGAAAACTCCATCTGCCCACAGTCCCCCAAGAAGAGAGACAATCAGGTTGCCCTTTGAATGCATCTCCCCTCCCACCCCCAAAAGAATGTGTCTCTGGGTCCGTGCTCAGACCCTGCAGACCGGGACTGGCTCTTCCTGTGCATTGTGGGTGAGCCTCTTCTTGCTCTTCATCCCCTTGGGCTGCCAGACCCCAGAAGAGCTCCATTTATTCTGGATGGCTTTTGGAGCACACTGTGCTTCTGCCAGCATTCTCCTCCAGGCCTCTGAGGGGAGAGGGTTGCCCTGGCAGCTGAGGTCCTTGGTTTCCCGGTGGCATGCGCAGGGTTCCTTCCCGGTGCGTACCTGAGAAGAAGCCCTGACGGCTTTGCTATCTGACACCAAGACTGGCCTCGGGAAGGCTGCCTCTTCCCCTGGTCATGCGCACTAGCCGGCACCGTCTACACGAAAAATAACCACATGTGCGTAATTTGTAATTTCCCAGGAACATCGTTTTTGAAAAAAAAAAAAAAAAGGTAAAAATCAAAGCAGATGAATTTAGTATTACTATTTCATTGAACTCAGTCAAGCTGAAAGGCTGGCTCACGCGCGATCTGTGACGGCTGTGTGTTTCACAGGTGCAGCCTTGGTCTGGAGCAGGCATAATTTAGGGGTCCGTGGTCCCCTGAGACCCCCAACTCCCGGCCTGGACAGCCTGGACAGCGAGACGCACGCTCTAGAGGAGGCCAAGGCCAGTGTTCTGGCCCCACCCCGCTCGGAGATGCAGCTGCCACACCTTCAGTCAAGGTGAGAGGGCTGGAGGGACTTCAGTACAGCTCTCTCTAGAGCCTCTGTGGTGCCTCGCCCAAGCCTTTCTATTTATCATCTTGCTCTCTGCCGTTATCTTCCCATCACCTCAGACCCCTGCATTCCCTATGCCTTGCCATCTGGAGGAAATTCTTTTGTTATCGCCGTGTTTCCAGATGAGGAAGCTGAGGCCTTCAGCCTGCTGAGTAAACCCTCCCAGGGCAGGCGGACTTCATAGCCTGTGAGCTTACCTGTTGTTCAGTGCTGAAACTCAGCCTGACTCACAACTGTGTTCACGGAGCCTGCCTCCCTCAATTAAACCCAGAGCTCAGGACCTTTGCTTTTGAGCACCTGGCAGAAAACAGCAATAATAATAAAGAAAAAGTCTGTTCTTGTCTGTGACGTTAAACCCAAAGTTACAGTAACAATGGGTCATCCACAGCATGGACAGCAAGTCACTTTGTGGTGTAAAAGTCACAGGTGTTTGGACAGACTTGAAATGACATCCCAGGGGATTGCGGTATTATTTTTCAGTCCAGTCAGTGTAAGACCTGAGACACATGTGTAAGTTCTGGATTCAGATCTCTCCTAGTGAGGACAGATTGAGCTACCATTTTCTTTCTTTCTTTAAGATTTGTTTTGTATTGGAAAGGCATATTTACAGTGAGAAGGGGAGATAAAAATCTTCCATCCGCTGGTTTACTTCCCAAGTGGCCTCAATGGCTGGTGCTGAGCTGATCCAAAGCCAGGAGCCAGAAACCTCTTCTGGGTCTCCCACTTGGGTACCAGGTCCCAAGGACCTGGGTGGGCTGTCCTCGACTGCTTTCCCAGCTACAAGCAGAGGGCTTGATGGGAAGTGAGGCAGCCTGGGTACAAACCAGCACCCTTATGGGATCCCAGCTCATGAAAGGCGAGGACTTTAACTACTAGGCTACTTCGCTAGGCCCTGAGCCGGGTAGCTGGACTCCTGCCTTGAGTCTTGGGCACATTAGTCTGGTGTTCCTGCCAAGCACACGTACACAGGCTGTTTGTTTTCCTTCTCTTCCCCCCTTAGGCAAGGTGTGCGGTAGTGGGGGTGTTGGTGCTACACTTCCCCATTTCCTCTGCCAGGCTGCGCAGATGGAAATAGGTTGTTGTCTTCCACCCTGAGCGGTTGTTGGTATCTCAGGGGGGTTGGAGGAAGCTCTGATACTGGAAACTCACACTTCCGGTGTCAAAACCTTGCCTCTTTCCTGCTGTCCAGGCTCCTGGAAGGCAGAGGGTGAGCTTCGGAACCAGCCAGGCTCTTGGCACCTTTATAAAGGGAGGGAAGATCTTTCTTTTTTTTCCCCCTGACAAAGGATCACCAGTAGGGCAGGCAGGCGCAGAAGCTCACCAAGCATTCACTGGGCTGGACTGCGGAGCGCGCAGCGAAACCAACGTCCTGCTTGTGCGGCGTCCTGTTGATCGGTAACTCCCTAGGGTATGGAGTTGGACTCGAACAGCTCCGGAAGGTTTTTATTTATATTTATTATTACTGTTTTGTGAATGTTGGGTGAGTGGGCACAGTTTTGTCAAGCAGACACACTTGGGTGTCTTTTTCTGCCCTGCTTGCACCTACAGCCCCGGGGATCTCAGCCACTTGACCCACTGGGCGGACCTGGGATCTGCTCGGCAGCTCCCCTCCCTAATCTGCCTGGGTGTCTGTGCCACTGTGCGCCCCCAACGCTGTGCGCCCCCAGCACACCCGCACCCCGGGGGAGCTGGCGTTGCCCGCCTGCATCGCGCTCAAGCGGTTTTGCCGGGATGTAGGAACGGGCGCAGTCTCCGGACGCTTCTCGTGGGTTTCCGCAGGGAGCAAATTCTTTTCGCCTTCTAAGTCGTGAAAGGTGACGCCAGCACCCGCGAGTGCCACTCCAGGAGAGGGACTCTGACAACATTCTCCACCCCTCAGGCTGTAACCGGTGGTGCCTGGTCCTTCTTTCCCTAGGAGTGGATCCCCCGCCCCCCCCATGCTCTGCTGCCCCTGAGCCTACAGGTCCGAGTGCCAGGGGCGACCCTCACTCCCTTCCCTGCCCCAGCCCCAGAGGGGCTATGGCCGTTTGGGAAGTTTCTGGGTGGGGGCGAGGGGGGGAGCCGGGCAGAGTGACCCCCGAGCCTTATGTAATGGGAAGCCCTGGCTGCAGGAGGGAGCGAGACTGACATTGAGACCTTCCAGTGGGGAGGGCAGCTGCTTGTCCTGGAGTCGTTTGCCACAGCGGAGGCAGTTCCAGGAGAGAGAGAGAGAGAGAGAGAGAGAGAGAGAGAGAGAGAGAGAGAGAGAGAGAGAGAACCGACTGAAGACGCTTCGGGAAATCAGAAGGCGAAAACAGCCGCAGGAGCCTGAGCGTTTAAGCCAACAGCAGGACACGTGTAGCGAGTCGGCTGCCTTCCAACTTCTGTCCTGGTCCCTGGGGGATTTACCCTTTGGGGCACTCCAAGCCTCGAAGTGCACGGCCAGGAGCGAATGAATGGGTGGGGGGAGAGAGTCGGGCTCCTTGATCCTATTTCAGTCTTTCTCTCCCGGAGCGCAAACTCTGTCTGCAGTTATTCGGGGAAGTCGGGGATTGAGACCCGACTCGGGTGCTCGGCCGAGCGGCTCCACGCCGGGCTCGGTCCCAGCAGGAGCTCTGGCTCGCGCGGTACTGCCCCTTTAAGACCTGCTTGCTCTCGGGCTCTACAAAAGGGAGTGACCTCTGGGCTTTGACAGCTCCCCTAATAACTACCACCGCGCAGGCCCCGCCCACCTGGCGGCCAGCCGCGCCCATTGGCCGGCGGGCCGGTATCCCGTGCTCTGATTGGCCCGCCGCTTCCCCTGAGCGAACCTTTAGAACTCTGAGACAGACAATATTCTGTTACATTGTAGCAAAATGGCGACTGTCATTCACAACCCCCTGAAAGCGTAAGTAAGACTAAAAAAATGTACATATTCCGCGTGGTTTCAATATGAAAAAAAAGGCGCCTTCTGCGTGCCGAGCGCCGCCAGTGCCCTGCGCTTGCGGGCGCCTCCAGCTGCAGCCGCCGCTTCTCTTTTCTTTCAGCTCTTACTTCTTCGTTTTCTTTTTCTTTTTTTTTTCCCTCTTCCCACCTCCCTCCCTCTCCCCCCCACCCGGCACCCCAGCCAGCGCGCAGAAATGTCAGGAGATGCAATTAACAAGAAGAAAATTGTTACATTTGCTTTGCGCTTAATTGGCGGATCCGGAGAGAGAGAGAAGCGGAGAAGGGGGTTTTCGGCGGCCGGGGAGCCGGCGCTCGCGCGCGGCGGCCGGGGGTCGCGGGCGGCTTGGGGACGGGCGCTCCCCCGAGTCCCCCAAGCTCGCCAGGCTGGGCACGGGCGCCGGGCAAGCAGCCGCCCCGGTGCACTTGGCGGAGCGCGGCGTCCTCTACCGAGCCCCGCGGCCCGCCGGAGGCAAGCGGACCGACCGCGGCGGCCGGGGAGTTTGCTGCAGGGCGCTCGCCGCCTTCTCGTGGCCGCGGGCGGGGAGTTTGTGCAAACCTTTTGGAGTTGCGGGCGCGGCGGATCCCGAGAGCTTCGGGGGAGCTGAGGGGTGGCTGGCTCCCCGGTGGGGAAGGCACCCTGGGTGGCAGCGAGGGGTCGCGCGCGCGCGTGTGTGTGTGTGTCTGTGCGTGCGCGCGCGGGTGTACTGGCTGGGGTCCATTCCACGGGTCCACTCGGGGGCGGGTCTGGGGTCGGGGACGCTGCGGGGCTTGTGAATGGTGCTGTCGTCTGCTCTTTTGGGACCTGCCGAGGCGAGAGGACGGGCGGTCTGGGGCTCCCAGCCCAAGCAGGCGGCGCTGCCCGCGGCTCCGAGCTGGGGGCAGGTGCCTCGCGGAGACTTTGAGCGGACAGCCGGATCCGGGTCGGAGGGGGCCCCGGGCTGGGCAAGCCCCCGCGCGGGGGGCCAGCCTCCAGGTCCAACCGCCAGTTCCTGCCCGCCTGCCTTCCTCCTCTTCATCCTGGCTTGCTTGCTTGTTTCCTTCCTTCCTTCCAGTCAGTGGAACTGTTAAGCCGCCAAGTCCGCTCATGATCGCAGAGCTGGGGGTGGCGGCCTGGGCAAACTAGTGTCGCTTTACGAGGGGTGCTCTGGGCGGAGGATTGGGCTGGGTCGGAGATTGGCTCCCCTTGAGGTGTGGGCCTCTTCACCCGGGACCTCCCTGCGCCGTGGGGGCCGCTGGCCAGGGGCAGGCGAGGTGCAGGTGGGTGGGGACTCTCGCCGCTGTGGTGACGGGGGAGATGGACCCGGGTTCTTTGAACTCTGCATGTCCCCTGCCGTTCTCTTGCCTTCCCTCACACGGCTCTTTTTAGGGGTGGAAAACTAGGTTTTCAGTCTGGGGCGGGGGAGTGGTAGCGGGGTTCCTAATGCCAAGGACGGGGGCGGGGATGGTCAGACCCTCGTGCACCGGCTGCTTTCCTATTCGTATGAGCGATAGCAAGGCACTGGGACTGGAAAGCGCCGGGTGTGGGCGCTTTATGGTTTCTGAACGCGAATGTGGCAGTGAGAGGAGCTCAGATGCATGGCAATCTGAACACCCGGCGTTTCTCACCCGAGAAACGAGGTTGTTTGGTGGTAGAATACACAGGCGGAACTTCACCGCTTCCCAGCTCGCGCCGCTGCACGCGGGGCCCTGAGTTTTTTCTGCTACCCCGAAGCTGATGAGCAGTTTCTCCTTTTCCAGCTTTCCAAAACCGTAGAGCAGGGTGGATGCCACCTGGGAAACTCAAGCTGGAGACACCTATTTCACATGTGCGTCTGGTTTGTTGCCTACTGGGAAAGCAGTCTGCCGGTTACCCAGGAACCTGCTTACGCGCGGGCAGGCACAGTCTCCCAGCGCCCCAGGACGCCCCTGCTCGCGTGTATGTTGGGGCCACAAAAAGGTGCGCGTTTGGGGAGGGCGTCTGCGTGTGTTGGATTTAGGGGTAGGGGAGGCGACCAAGAAGCGAGAGGGAGGGAGTCTAGTCCCGGTTGGTGAGTGGAATTAGTTCTGAATTATATATACCCTTTGCCACGACAAACGGTTGCATTGTGTTTGCAAGCCTAGGTCGCCGCAGCATACGCACTGGCACGCCCTCCCTCCCCGCCTTGGTTTCCAGGTGGGAGTCCAGTGGTCATTTATAATTAGCCACCCCAGCCTCTTTCCCTGCAGGAGAAGAGGCGTAAACAATGCAGCGCTGCCGCCAGCCCAGTTCTTCACCCAGAAGCTTTAAAAACTCCTGCAGGAGCACGGGGCACTTGGTGCTGGAGACTCGGGCACCAGCTGCTTTTATATTGCAGAGGAAACTTGCTTCATGAAATGCCTTCTGTATTTCAGTTGTTTGTAAAAGTTGCTGATCAGGAAAACAATGGGCACATGAATAAATTATGTATGGGATAAATTAGAACAAAGCAGAGAGAGGCATGAGGCTGAGGGGCTGGCCGGTGGTGCCCAGAGGAGGGGGCTGCGTGGGCCCCGAGTGGGGAGCGCTGTTTGCACGTCTGTGTCCCTCATGGACATTGCAAGGGAGCTGAGTGGCATTAGCATTTTCTCTGTGTGCCTCCCGAGTCTCTCTGGCCCTCTTAAAAACAAAAGCCAAACAACAGCTACGCCCCCTACAGAATGTGGTCACACAAAGCTTCCCCAGAGGATTGAAGGATGAAGTGGGAGTGCCTGTACTAGGGAGAAGTCAGCTCAGGTGCGGGACAGCCCCTTGTCTGCTCCGCTGTGGCCTGTCTTTCACGTACCCTGGCTTTTTCCACTTGGGACATTGAATAATTCAGTTAGCCGCGGTGACTGGCTGGCAACATTTCAATCTCGGTGCTTTGGGGTCTTCCTTAGGGCCCGAGCTCTTGGAGCCACATCTCTCTTAACAGTTTGGTTTTTCTCCTGCTTGTCTTTGATGCGCCCAGCTCCCCCTTTTTCCTCTCCTTGTTCTACCCTTCACTCCCTTTTTCTCTGAAACCTGGCTTCTCCGTCTATTGTCGCCTTTAACATCTTATTACTGCCCCACAGGGTGTTAGAGGCAAAACCAGGAGCCACCCGGACTGATCAGATCACAAAGGGGACTCAGCAGGTGGCCGCCACCACCAAGCTTTCACATCTGGACAAACAGGATTGAAAAGCACTGATGGGCATGTGTGATGTGTAATGTATGCTTCACATTAGTCAAGTGAGCCGCTACAGTGAGGGAAGAGTGTGTGTGTGTATAGGGGGGTGTCTTGTTTCTTTGAGAAGTTAAACATTAAAAAAAAAGTCTTTATTTGAAAAGAGAGAGATGTTCCATTCACTGAACCACTGCTAAAATGTTCATAAGAGCCAGGTCCGGGCCAGTCTGAAGCCAAGACTCAGGAGCTCCTTCCAGGCCTCTTACACGGGGGAAGGAGATCTAAGAACTTGAAGCTTGCACCTCTCAGGAGCCTCCTTTAGCAGGAAGCTGGACTGGAAGTGTAGGCAGCCCTTGAACTGGGCACTGTGGTCTGGAATTGGAGGAGTCTCACCTGGTGCGCCACTGTGCCTGCCTGCACCCATTCATTTCTTGTATGCACCAGCAAGAGAAGGGCCGGGGAGTGAAGGGAACCTATGAGAGGTAACATGAGTAGGTTTGTGTGTTGGTCCCCTTGTTACATTCCAGCTGATTTCTGGATAAATATTGCATCCAGTGTCAGTTCTAGTCCTTTTACTTTCTTTATTTTTAAAATACTTTATTCATTTATGTTTGAAAAGCAGATATTAGTGAGATAGAGAGATCTTCATCTGCTAGTTCACAACACTGAGCTGATCTGAAGCTGGGAGCCAGGGACTTCTTCTGGATCTCCCATGTCGATGCAGGGTCCCAAGGCTTTGGACCATCCTCCACTGCTTTCCCAGGTCATAGGCAGGAAGCTGCGTGGAAACAAACTGGTGCCCAAATCGGATGCTGGTGCTGCAGTGTGGTGGGTTAGCCTGTTGTGACACACATGCTGGCCCTTGTTCTAGTCCTTCTAGTCCTTTTTTTTTTTTTTAAGATTAATTTTATTTCTATTGCAAAGTCAGATATAAAGAGAGGAGGAGAGACTGAGAGGAAGATCTTCCGTCAGATGATTCATTTCCCAAGTGAACGCAACGGCCTGTGCTGCACCGATCTGAAGCAAGGAACCAGGAACTTCCTCCAGGTCTCCCATGTGGTTGCAGGGCCTCAAGGCTTTGGGCCATCCTCCACTGTTTTCCCAGGCCACAAGGCAGGGAGCTGGATGGGAAGTGGAGCTGCTGGGATTAGAACTGGTGGCCATATGGGATCCTGGCACGTTCAAGGTGAGGACTTTAGCTGCTAGGCCATGCTGCTGGGACCTTTTTTTTTTTTTAAGATTTATTTATTTATTTATTATTGGAAAGTCAGTATTACAGAGAGGAGAGAGACAGAGAGAAAAATCTACGGACTGGTTTACTTCCCAAATGGCTGCAGTGGCCAGAGCCGAACCGATCTGATCCAAAGTCAGGGGCCAGGAGCCAGAGAGTTCTTCCAGGTCTCCCACTTGGATACAGGGTCCCAAGGCTTTCCCAGGCCACAAGTAAGGAGCTGGGATATGAACCAGCAAGGCGAGGAATTGAGCCACTAGGCTACCACGCCTGTCCCCCTAGCTCTGGTCCTAACATTCTGGTTCAATTCCCTATATCTGCAGTCAGCACTTTAAACAACCTACTCTTTTATTAAGTTATCAGAACCTGAGTTTATATTCACTTAACTGGGAATGCCTGCCACCTTCTGCCTGACTTGATTATGCACATATGTAACTATTATTATAACTGCCTACTTAGAAAAGAATCACTGCTATTATTATTTAATTATTGCATATAAATCAACAGGGCTTTACCTCAGGTAATTACTTATTTATAAAGAATGAGCAAGCCATTTTGTTCCGCTGTGAACACACACACACACACACACAC